GGAGGGAGACGTTCGGCGTCTACATCTACAAAGTGCTCAAGCAGGTGCACCCCGACACCGGCGTCTCCAGCAAGGCCATGGGCATCATGAACTCCTTTGTCAACGACATCTTCGAGCGCATCGCCGCCGAGGCTTCCCGTCTGGCTCACTACAACAAGCGCTCCACCATCAGTAGCCGCGAGATTCAGACCGCCGTCAGACTCCTGCTGCCGGGCGAGCTGGCCAAGCACGCCGTCAGCGAGGGCACCAAGGCCGTCACCAAGTACACCAGCTCCAAGTAGATCGACCGCCGCTGATCGACATAACCCCGGCCTTTTTCAAGGCCACCCACATCCCCACAAAAGAGCTGTTTCAATCACAATATAATCACAATATACACTACCACAATATACACATGTACACACCACTAACCTGTCACCGCAGCTAGCTACAAAGCTACCCATGCACATGGCAATACAGAGACTACGTCCAGCGTCAACTGCAACGCACAGCAACAACAACAACAACAGAAAGAAAGAAAAACATGTCAAGTTTATTCTGACGTAAGAAAAGTCTGAACGCGTTCTGCCTGGTATCGAACAAGGCATAAAGGAGGCCTTCTGGAACAAATGTCGCCTGCGACGTTCCTTAGAACAATATAGATTGGCCGTTAATTAGTCGCCGTTTTTGTCCTGTCTAAATATACATGTAGTAGTAAACAGTGTGTGCGTGTGTGTGTTTACATATACCTATATGTATCCGCCATGGACGTTGTCTACGCTCTCAAACGCCAAGGTCGCACCCTGTACGGCTTCGGTGGCTAAAGGATCATCTGACGGACGCATCATCACAGCAACAAACCCCGGCCCTTTTCAGGGCCATCCAAATATCCCCAAAAGAACTGTATTCTCTCACATCACACATCTACACTTACATATTATACACATGAATTTAATTCAATGCTATATCATTTTAGATTCTGTCATTGCTTAATGTAAATATACATGTACTAGCTGATTCAAATGTATAATGTACAGTAATACACCTCCTGTCTACAATTGTATAGGACTAATAAACAAGATAGCTCCAAGTAGATATCACATGGAAAGTCAGAAAGCCTGATTTTCCTACCTAAATCTGCTTATGCAAAATAGCAGGCTTTACGTACGAATCAGACTTTTTGGGCTCATAATGTAAAAAAGTACATTGACTCTTGTATATGTCTTGTGTGTGACATAGACTATTGTTTCCTGATTCTGTGTTTCTCGTTTGTTATTACTTACATGCATATGTCTTATGAGCAGTACTTAATATTATTCGTTTTGTCATTGTGAATGCACGTGGTCTAGTTCTTTTGTATTGATTCTCTATTTTACGTCAAGTCAGTATCGTTGACTTTTTCCTGAACACTAGTACTATTCCTATCTTAAAAAAAATAGATGTAGACCTGCACATTGCCATTGATCATTTCGAACTTTGCCCCTTGCATGCCCACCTCAAATAGTGACACTAGCTGCGGATCAAAAAGAGGCAGGTCAAAATCACAAAGTCCAGGTTCTGGATAGGTTCCAACAATGTTGAATCCATTACACGTGTTTTATACTGCAAGTCTGGTTGGTATATCTGCCTTTTCAGGCTTGTTGTTGTTGTTGTACCACTGTGCACCTGTCCTGTACTACCTGGCCTCGGGGATACTGCTGGGTTCAGTGGGATACTGTCTGGTTCTGTACTTGGCGCCGAAGAGCCGAGTGAACGGGAACGGCAAAGCTGTCTTCATTACAGGTATACTAGGACTTTGATTCCAACACATGCAATCATTAGCATGTTCACTTTTAGTCTTGGTAGTCTATCAAAACTCTTTGAAAGTGTATCTTGTAAGGTATAGACAGATGATTGACCTGCTTGAATGTTTGACTTTCTAACAACAGGGTGTGACAGTGGTTTCGGATTTGGGCTTGCCAAACGCCTGGACTCGCTGGGGTTCACGGTGTTTGCCGGCTGTCTGCTGGCAGACAGTGGTGGGGAGGGGGCGAAGAAACTCCGGGCGGAGTGCTCGAGCAGGCTGAGTACTGTTCAGATAGACGTGACTGATGATGGACAGGTGAAGGCCGCTGTACAACAGGTCAAAGATCGACTGCCGACGGGGTCAAAGGGTGAGAACTTTTTCATGAGTTACTAAGTGCTGAGATATGGCGTAAACATGACAGCTAAATTTTATAGCAAATGTCTCATTCCATAACGTTTTATCTCATCTTAGATTTTCACCCTGTGGCTACTTTTTTGACTGACGTTGCCTGCTATTCGAGAAAGAACTGTTTCAACCGATTAAGCCGAAGTTGATCTGATAGAAATCGTTTAATCAGCAGAAGAAACAACCAGATGACAACACACGGGTAATGTGATGTATTTGTCTTCGTAAGGAAGTGCAATAATGGGTTAACTGTCCATCAGGTCTCTACGCACTGGTGAACAATGCCGGAATCTGGCAGCCGGGAGAGACAGAGTGGGTCAGTCTCGCCACCTACCGACGTGTGATGGAAGTGAACACTTTCGGTACCGTGCGGGTCACCAAGGCGTTCTTACCACTGATTCGTCGGGCGAAAGGTCAGGGTAATAGTGGTTTTAACTCGTTCTGCGACTGCTTCATGTTAATAGCACCAATCAATACGAGACGTTTACAAGCAGCACTTTGAAGGTATTTTGGGTTGGGATAATACTCTTATTTAGATGCTGGTTCCTTTGTTAGGACGAGTCGTGAACATATCCAGTGTGGCTGGGCTCTACGTAGCCGCAATGGCTGGTGTCTACTGCATGGCTAAAGCGGCCCTGGAATTTTTCTCCGACGCGCTCAGGTATGTGAGTTATATACATGCCGCGTCATGTGTACATGCATTCGTAATCATAGATGTCTGTATCACGAATTCGAAGACACGATTTTTTTAACCGAACGAGAGAACCAATAATGCCACGTCCTCTTTATATATTTTTACCTTCGCCAAGAAGGTTATGTTTTCAGAGTGTCTGTCTGTCTGTCTGTCTGCCTGTCTGTCTGTCTGTCTGTCTGTAAACACGATAACTTGAGAAGGCTTAAATGGACTGTCTTGATATTTGGTAGGTGGGTAGGTCTCGATGATACCTCAAAATGTTTAGATTTTGGGCCCCCTAGCGGCTTCTTATGGTACTGCAGGTGAACTACCGGTTTTTGTATCTTGTGATCTGGACATGCTAGGGTCACTAAAATTGGATGATATATGTAGGTAGCTATTGGGCTGGGGAAGAAGTGACGTGAGTTTGGGCCCTCTGGCGGCTTGCTCTAGAACTGCAGTAAGTAAGTAAGTAAGTAAGCCTTTATTTAAACTCGAAAGCATGCGCAGGAGCGTTTGGTTAATAATATTCAAAATAGGATATATAACTCAAGAACCGGTTGACGGATTGTCATGATTTTTGGAATGTACGTTTTATGTGACAATTTTGCAAATCTGGCCTTACTTTGCATAACTTATGAGGAAATTCTATAAATCAGCTGCATAACATGACATTGTGACATGTGTAATTGAGAACGAGAGAAACACAGACAGATATTTATTATGTAAATGAAGACATAATTTGCATAATTAATGAGAAAATGTTATAGTTCAATAATAATAATGCCTGAAATTTCCTACTTGGGGTAATTGAAAGTTAAGTGAAGGTGAACATCATTAAATATAACTTATTCAAATAAGGACCTCATTTCCACAATTTAGTAGAAAATTCTAGAATGGCATTAATTCTTTGTCAAGATATGACCGTTTTTGGTGGAGAATATGATCAATTGATACATGTATAGTTCATGTAAATGAGGATTCTATTTGCATAATCAGGGGGATAATTCATAATTTGTCAGTCATAACGATTAACATGATTTGGCGAAGGTATGAGATCGTGGAACTCTACTTGTTCATATTTTACGTCCTACTTACTAACATAACCCTTTAACCCAGGCATGAGATGCACAAATGGGGTGTCAAAGTTGTCATCGTGGAGCCTGGCAGCTTTGGACCGTCGACAAATATCCTTCTGCCCAATGTCTACAAGCAGTACATTGAGGTACAAGTACGATATCTGCTGCATCGTGTTTACTAGTAGTAGAGGTGTTGACAAATTCGGTGCTTCTTTTCTTCCCCACGCTTAAGGTGCCCTATACTATTTGCAAGATTCTGTACATAATATGACTATTATATATATATATAATAGTGTACTTTCTGGTAACCAAAACATATGACATGCATAAACGAACGAGATGGTCAAAAGAAAGGTGATCGTTCTGCATTGAAAGAAAGAACAAAATCACTGTGGATGCTGCCTAGGATTAATATTCTAAAGCGCTAGTTCGTAAAGCGACGGTCACAACCCGCCGTACGTGCTTTTTCTCCGTACGTGTTTTGGGAGGCTACGTCTTCTACGTTTTTTTTTCTGAAAACGTGGGGAAGGAGTGGCGTCTACGCACGTCACTCGCACGGTTGCACAAAGTGTAAGAGTATGGTCTGCACGCCAAGTCTGGCCGTGAGCGGTTGCGTGCATCGTACGTTGCGCAAGTGGTAAGTGAGTTGTACGTGCTTACAACGTACGATCTCCGTGCGATTGCAACTTTACCGTAAGGAGGCCGTACTCACACGTGCTTCTTCCGCACGGCACGTACGGGGCACGCGCGTCGCTCGTACTCGCACGAACGGGTGGTGAATCCGCAGACCGCACGTAGAAAAAGTTTTACATGCACTTAAAGTTCTACGGCGTGTCTGCGTGCTCCCAAATCCTTAGGATTCCGTACGGAGGTGGTACTCACCACGCACGGATGCCCTACGTTTGCCCTCGTTTTTGCACGTAGACAGCACGCAGAAGCACGTACGGCGGGTTGTGACCGTCGCTTAAGTTTTGCATATACATGACCAAAAGCAGACTTCTACTACTGATTACACAGAACGTGCGAAACAAAATGGAAAAGGCTGTAAAGGAGGATTATGGAATGGAGTACTTCGACTTCAAGACAAAACAACTCAGGGCCTGGATTGATTGTCAACCTAAGGATCCTACCCCTGTCATAGATGTAAGTGGATCTTACAGAATATACTGCTGACACATATCTGTCGCTTTCAATTGAAGTTTTTTCCCGTCTGTTTTCAATACACATTTAACTAGGAAAATGTTTTTTTAGCTTTGGCATGGAGTTAGCTACGATTGAGTCTGAATGCTAGCTGTGTGTCATTCGCGCAAGAACTAAACAACAAATCCAGGTCATAATGCACAGGTTGTTGATAAAATGTAGGGGAAAGGACAGATATTCACTTCTTCAAAGCAGTTAGCAGATGTTGACCTTTAATCCGCAGGTTATGTCGGACGCCGTTACCTTAAGCGACCCCTCTCATCGCTACTTGGTCGGAGCGGATTTTGAGGACTACATAACTACGATGTGATTGGGGTACTTTCCCACCCAGTGGACTGACTCTACAGAGAAGGCTGAGAAAGAAGCTGTACCAGCCATGCTGCAGAAAACTAACTAGAACATGCGTCAAATTCTTTAATTACTACCAGCCGTTCACTTGTATAACTCACCTTAATATTGTCAATATTCAAATGAACTACATTTGTAAGTCGCATGATGTCAATGTTGCAATGTTCCATTTTCAGTGATTATACACAATGTAGTGAATATCGAATACCATGTATGTCGGTGAAGGTTAGACATCCAGGTAATGAGATACGCCAAAAACAGCTACTAAAGCAACTGGATATGATTTGGGAGACTGTCAGACTTTTAAGCATGTATGGAAGGGCCAATGTGACAATGAGACACAGAAACAATGTGAGAGTAGGTATTGACTCTTTGTAACTTAGAATCATAGATACATGTACTATGTATTATCAAATCAACATTCACTTAATCTAGACAAAAGAAACATCATTCTTACACCAAGAAAAGCATTGTTTATGCTCTAGCTCTGCTGGCGAAACTAGTACATGTATGTAACGGTCTAAGAGATACAACTACTTTGCTGTTGGCATATTATACACCTGAATATAATTCAATAGATGTTCTACTATAGTGTATATCATTTTAGATTCTGTCATTGCTTAATCTAAATATACTAGATGATTTAAATGTATTATGTACAGGAATGAACCTCCTGTCTACAACTGTATAGGACTGATAAACAAGATACACAATGCATCTCCAAGCAGATATCACATGGAAAGTCAGAGAGCCTGATTTTCCTACCTAAAATCTGCTTATGCAAAATAGCAGTCTTTACGTACGAATTAGACTTTTGGGGCCCATAATGTAAAAAAAGTACATTGACTATTGTGTGTGACAAAGACTATTGTTTCCTGATTCTATGTTTCTCGTTTGTTATTACTTACATGCATATGTACCACTTATTTTACATGCTTGTGTTCCTTTTGTAGAATATACTTTGAAAATCAAATGAAAACCATGGGTGTAAACTTCAGACATATATGGTATACTTCTTATATATATGAAAGGGATGTCAAAACTAATAATATCTGCAAGAAATCGGAGATTTCCAACTTTCAGGGTGCCTATTCACAGACCTCTGGGGAAACGTTTTGAGTTTTTGTTAATGTATAGGAACTATGGAGGGGAATGTATGTAATCTAATGATAACCAAGTCTCTGTCTTTCTCTCACGCACTTTTTTAATGTTTTTAACACTACGTATGAACACTATGTGCGAATATATTAATAGGTAAAAATTAGTCTGTTTCTCTGATGTGTATTGTCGATCAGTTTTCGGACGCGTCCGTGCTAGCCTGGGTGCCATCCGAATTTGTAACGGCTCCCCCCAAAAGACATTATAAGCCAACATTGCGGTTTTCAGGAGGGCGGACCGTTTATTTCAGGCGTTCTGAAATAATTGGTCCGGCTGAAATAAACGGTCCGCCCCTAGTATCTAAGAGATTTAGGCTCATTGTCAAGAACAACGACGTTGGTTGTACAAGACAAGTTTATTTCGTCCATGATATAGTACAAAAACAGTTTCATAAGATATTATAGGGCAACATTGCGATTTTCAGGAGGGCGGACCGTTTATTTCAGGCGGTCTGAAATAATTGGTCCGACTGAAATAATCGGTCCGCCTCTAATATCTAAGAGATTTGGGCTCAGTGTCAAGAACAACGACGTTGATTGTACGAGACAAGTTTACCTCGGCCATGATATAGTAGAAAAAACAGTTTCATAAGATATTATAGGGCAATATTGCGATTTTCAGGAGGGCGGACCGTTTATTTCAGGCGTTCTGAAATAATTGGTCCGGCTGAAATAAACGGTCCGCCCCTAGTATCTAAGAGATTAGGGGTCAATGTCAAGAACAACGACGTTGATTGTACGAGACAAGTTTACCTCGGCCATGATATAGTAGAAAAAACAGTTTCATAAGATATTATAGGGCAACATTGCGATTTTCAGGAGGGCGGACCGTTTATTTCAGGCGTTCTGAAGAAGTTTTATAAGATAGGGCAACAGAAGGGCGGACCAATTATGTCAGGCTTAATCATTTGGTCCACCCCTTCTTGTTCTGATTTGGAAAAAGTGGGAACAGTCTGCCACATCTAGAATTGTTTTAGAACTGTTTTTATTTTAGCGGACCAAAGAGCTCGAGGGTCATTGCAGAGACTTACTGTTTTGTAAGCTTAGAAATCAGAGGGGGTTAACATTCTAGTTGTAAAGGAATAGTCTCTTTCATGCTTACGCGACGGTTTTTATAAGTTAACAAACAAGTTATGATGTGCGATATTGTACAATCTTACGTTAATGCTTACTTTACAGAACCCTGTTTATCGTTACATGTACTGAACTGAACTGCGATCGCCTTGATTGGGATATGTGCGTGTGGGCCTTCGTACATTTTAGGCCACGCCCCGGACCGATTATTTCAGCCGGACCGAATATTTCAGAACACCGGCATCGATCTGTTCTTTGACAGTATCGACGATAGCTCCAATGAATACTCTTACCAACTCTTTTGCGTGCTTTGTTTCTTCGCTGTCGAGTGTAACTTTCTTCCTGTGGTCCCTCCACAGCTGCCCTTCATCTGTATACCTTTCTGGCTCAGCATAGTGGAAACTTCCTCGATATTCGTGGTGCCTGTACGGATTGGAACACGGCAATGTTCGTTTACCACTTTGCTAAGAAAGCTACAATCATAGACAATTAGCAATTAAAGCATTACGTTTTCTATTTGTTATACAAAGGCTTGTAGGTAGATGCAGTACTCACAATATCTTTAATATGCAAGGTAGACAGTTAGCAGACAAAAGCAAAATTAGGAATCGGACCTTCAAGTTCACTCCCATCTACTACGACTGACCTGTTGACATTCTGTCATTCAGACCGTCAATCCCCCCACCCGCGTGCTGTCAACCGACATGTACTCTGTCCGGAAAAACCCCCACAAACAAACCCAAAGACAAACCCACACATTTAGTTAACTTCTACAGCACCTTGCGATGTTGGTGTGTTACGCTGAAGGGCGCCGTTATACCGCTATACAGCCTTATACAGAGACAGATAACGTTACCCTGTGTGTTCATCGCCATCATCATTGTTTCCTGTCAACCACTGCCAAGCTTTGTTGACGAACCAGGCCATATCCCTCACCGGTCCGTATAACACGTACCACAGCACCGCTAAAACAAGTTACACAGATATACAATCAATCTGTTAATCAAAGGAGCGCCTTGATTAATACACAAGTCTGAACAACAGTCGCCCACTGAATGAGAGTTGTTGCTGGCTTCTCTGACGATGTGACTGAAAGGAAAGGTGCACAGAGTGAACATAACATATGCTAGTAGTCAAGAAATACGCCCACTTTATCGTTACAGCTATCACTGGCGTAGTGGTTCAACTAGTCACTGTAATTACCTTCATGCAAGGACGATCTATCAGACTGAACGTCCTTGCTACATGAAACGCGAAGGTATTGTTTTCAGTCAGTGTCTAATGTCGTAAATATCAACAGACCTTTTTAGTCGCACCTCTGCCCAAAATGTTGCTGAAACGTGGCGACACAAGATCACTTCCTGTAAAGTTCGTAGTAGGTCCGAAGGTCAATTAGTCGCGCAAGGGATCATGGGATCACCTGCCACCGGCCCAGGTCGTCAATCCCGTTTGTCGACTCTTCAAGCAGATGTTGGGGGGAAGACCGTATTACCTTGACTGGCTGAAGAGATCGGTTTATGTTGAAGCTTGGCTACGCTCGCCTGGTGGTTTATTCGGTAGATATCGCACTTGACCAGGGATTATCTCACCATATACACCGAGGATAAGGCGGGGCTTTAACGCTATTATCATATAGAATATCCAAGTGACAAAGTTATTAGACACAGGGTTACAGATACAGGGGTGTCAAAAATTATGTTTAGTCGTTTTTAGTTTGAATTTCATTTATATATTTTTTATTTGTGTTGTATAAAAAAAAAATCAAAATAAACTACAATACATTGTTTTATGGATAAATATATGTACTACAAGTCTTAATACTACTGTTAGAGTGTCCTGTTCCCTGTATAATGGTACTGTCCAAAAAGTGGTCGGTTATTAGAATAACCGACCACTTCGGTCGTTTATTCTAATCATCGACCACTTTTGAGGTTATGGCCTGACAACCAATGGGAAATGGAGCCTTCTGATTGGTCGACGTCTTCTGGCTGTATGATATTATATGTTATTATTTATTATCTTCGACTAGAAGGTTTGCCCTTCAACTTCTTGGATATGGGAACCACTAATGACACCTGGAGAGTCCAAGCTGCCAACAGAAGCCTCTGGAAACAACTGTCTACAGCCTCCATGCTTCTACTATGATGGCTGCGGACGATTGATTGATTGACTCGAAGGTTATGTTTTTGATAGCGTTTGTGGGTATGCAGGATAATACCGGTCCGGGTAGGTATAACTTGATAACAGCAAAAAGAAAAACATCATGTTACATATGCTAACTTGCATCAATGGGAAAATTAGACAACAGAAAGAGAATAACTTGGAAAATAACGACAGGGCTGGTAAACAATAAAGACAAAAAAAACATAACGGGTTGTAATTTAGAGGCGAAACTGAAATGTCTTTAACCTACTTTGTTCCGTTTCATGACATATTCAGCACATTTGCAACAAAATTCGCAACAAGTCGTGTAGACGAATAGAATTAGAAATGGAACCAATTTACCAAACCAACTTCAAACGATGTTTTGCAATTGGTTTGTCTTCTCGGGGCCCTTTTAAGTCATTTTAATTAATTTGTCCAGACACTTTTAATATGTTTGGCTAAATAGTAGAAAATAAATAAAATAGGACCCAGTCTAGACCAATTAATCTAAAATCATCGTTTAAAGTTTGGTGTGGTAACCTAGTTTTATGATGATTTCATTTGTCTACACAGCTTTTTTCATCAAAAACACCTCTGTTCCAATTGAATCTTAGGAGAATTATGTCTTATGAGTCTACACTTTTTATTCACGAGTAATAAATGTGTCGGCAAAATCCTAGAAAAAATTGAAGATATTCTTTGCCAGCTTGGGATATGGATCTGTTTGGTTACAGCCATATCGGCTCTAACCAATCAGAGGAGTTGGTATCCTAATTAGAATGTTAACGCGAGGATGTGTAAAAGAGAGAGGACGGCGGAGGAACCCGCCAGTTGGATTAGAAGTAGTTTTGAAAGGCAACGATCTTCTTCGGAAGGAGCGTGTGACCTATAAGAACAAGTAGATCAACAAGCTAGAGGCGACTTTCAGCCGTGAGGATCTAGGAAGAGAAACAGCATGTAAAATAAGAAAGGTAGGTGTGGTGAATTTCATTTTCATACGGTGGTAGAAAATTCTTGGGTCATAATAAAACTTTTGAATGAAGTAACGATGATAGTGATGGAAATACAGCTATTTCTTCTCTGCTGGTTGACCAGTATTAAATTGTTTATTGCAAATTCTTGCCCGAGGGCTAATTGCAGAAACAGAAGAAATGTGGTATAAAAACAGGCAATTTGTACATATAGAACTATTGATAACTACTAAGAAACTACTGGTAAAAAACTACTGGGTTTGGCTTCTTTTTTGAAGACAGAGGAAGACAAAGGATCCCACTTTTTCTGTAATTTGTGGGTTTTCGGATGTTAAGAGGAGAGTGGTTTTCGTTTCATTTGTATATGTGTGAAAGTTTGGGTAGAATTTGGAGGCTACGTCAGTTCATTTCGTTCATTGCTGTAGAGGGTACAACTTGATATAAAATGCGTTTCGTCTTCCACCGTATTCAACGTACAATGTTTACAAATATTGTGTGTATAGCGTGCGTAGTCCAATGGTTAGCGACCCTTCCTCTGGATATGCACGTTACTGGAAAGGGTGGCAGTCCAACGGTCCACTGTTCATTGAGCTTGTCGAAAATTTGAGCTAGGGAATTTCCTTGGTACAAATGAAACTGTAAATACGGTACATAGCGTCTGTCTTCTCAGTCAAAACCAGTGGAAATTAACTCCTCAGTGTGCTAAAACTGGATCGAGATCGTCTTTTTTTCTTTACTTCCAGTTTGATCCTCCGGCGGAACAGCAGGCAAAATCAGTATCAAGCCTTTACCCTTTGAATAATGTCTAGAGAATGACAACTGTACTGCATCAAATGGCGTCCTGTCCAGAAGGTTTCTCTCGAAAAAGACGCGGTGTCATATTATTTGCCCTGGTTTTGGTGTCTGCCTGTAAGGCTCAAAGAGGGGCGTCATCTTGTACAACTTTTGACTACTTCTGTCCCCCGCAGTGTGAAAAAGCAAGTCAGCCTGTACCTGTAGTTGAGCAAATCCGATTCAATCTTTACCGGCCTTTGAAAAACATGATACCCTTCCACGCATGGACTGCATGTAAGGTTGTTAGTAATGGGACAGTAGATGCACCCATGGCAATACCTTGCATTAACAAATTTGCAGTCTCGGTTGCAGTAACGGGGTATCCACTAGGATTTCTATCGGCAATAACACTGGAGGGCATTTGCCATTCGATTCTGGCCCTGGTGAAATGTGACATCACTGATATTGAAGAGGACGTCTTCGCCAGATTGTCTAACCTTCATACGTTGGCCCTAGACTTTAACAAACTCACTCATATCAGGCAGAATTGGTTCTCTGGTTTGAATGGTCTCTACGTACTGAGCTTGTCCAATAACAAGATAGAGAGGGTGGATGCGGGGTCTTTTATCGACCTGAGGTCGCTTGAAGTCTTAAGCCTACAGTACAATCCGCTACAGACTGTAGACCCTGACTGGTTCTCTGGGCTCCAAAATCTGTTGGAGCTCCGCTTGGGATCAAACCACATTCCTCGGGGCGCATTCCGGTACCTTCATGACCTCCGTGACTTGACTCTAGGCGGGAACTTTACATTCGTCGACGGGGAGACGTTCTGGGGGCTAAGGAATCTTTCGTCCGTGCTTCACGTTGTTGGCAAGAGGTTGGGCACGGTTCGTGACACGGTGGTGGATGATGCGGCGTGGAGCCTTTCTCTTCACAATCTCAAGGATGAACGCGACCATCATCACATCAGAAGACAGGATGTGTCACTTACGATCTCCGACTATCTCGTCTGTATCACTCACCACCCTTTCATGAATGAACAGACTTGGGGTTGGACATACATGTATAATTTATCTACGTCTTCTGACAGTAGTGTTACAATAGAAAACACATCGTGTGGCTTGCCAGACATCCTCTTGACAAAGACTAAGGGTCAGGAACATTCTCTTGTCCTGATAAAGACTGGATTTTTCAACCGAAGCACCCTTCATAGTGACACTGACCAGTGTAGACAGGGATGGGAACAGAATGGTGGCTTGACTGTGGCTTTACAGGGTGGCTTACGCCTACGCTTCACTACACTATCGGAAGCAAACGAGACTATGAGGGCGTTTGCTTTAAGGTTGGAAAGGACGACACATAACGCAAGCACGAATAGCTCATCCACTGAAGGAAATCTGAGGCCATTCACCCAAACAAACGCGAGAAATATAACCTGTTTTGTGCTTGGCAATGGGAATACTAGTTGGTTGGTGCTTAATGGTCATAACGAAGACCAAATGGGGTACAACAAAACTTCACCAGCATCTACGTCTACTACGCCGCTTGAAGTCAGTACCATCATGAACAGACCTGCCCCAGACGACATTTCCATCTATGCTGCCTTTCTGACAGTGCCGGGTCTAGTTCTAGTTCTAGTATCCATCGTGGTAATACTGAAGAGGTGGTCAACCTTAGGCAACAAGAATGACCGAGCTTGCACCGTACCGCATGCGAAATCTGGCGGGCGAGGTCTGCTTCCCTCCCCGCCATTCCCCACCAACACAGTGACGTTTCCCAGCGCCAACTAATATCTTGCAGATCGCTGCCTACAACCCTAAGCTCAATCGAACCCAACTACTGTGAGATCCCAGACGATACTGCCCTTTCATTTCACACGTACTGGGAAATCGAAGATGGTGGCATGTCTGATGTGAACAGATCAGCGCTCACGAAGCTCCCGGCTAAAACACGCACGTGGAGGGAAGAACGAGAGGACGTAGTCTCTTGTCAGTCACTGCCTGCTGTCTCACCCTCTACCGAACCGACGTATTGCAACATTTCAGATAGCGACGAAGGTGATGGTGCCCCGTTACCATTTTATGGCATTGCAGTTGATTTGACGCTACCTGCAGTTATGGGGGAGGGTGAGAACCGCAGTATCTACCACGGCAATAAGACCAAACGTTCACGCCATCTCAGCCTACGTAGAACACGGTATGATAGATGGAAATCCCATCGTGTAACGTTCTACGGAAAGGCGGCAGAGACGTCCCGTGACCACGGCAGCCTTGAGAGAAGTTCACGCCGTCTCCAGCAGACATCTAGCCGACCTACAGCTGTGTATGGAAGATCCAAATCCCACGGCACAACGTTCTACGGAAAGGCGGCAGAGACGTCCTGTGAACACGGCAGCCTTGGCAGATTTTCACGCCGTCTCCAGCAGACATCTAGCCGACCTACAGCTGTGTATGGAAGATCCAAATCCCACGGCACAACGTTCTACGGAAAGGCGGCAGAGACGTCCTGTGAACACGGCAGCCTTGGCAGATTTTCACGCCGTCTCCAGCAGACATCTAGCCGACCTACAGCTGTGTATGGAAGATCCAAATCCCACCGCCGCGTAACGTTCTACGGAAAGGCAGTGAATGTCCCACAAAACTTGAGCATGCGAACTAACACAAACCCGCCAGGTTCTAATTCTCAATCGACGCAGACGCAAGTTCATTCGAGCGTTATAGTAGAGGATGCAGGTTCAATGGTCTGGCGACCAACCTCCTGGCCAATGCAAATCGTCGAAGGCGGCGGCCGCCGGCGTAACCCGCAGCGGCCAGCTTCCCTTACCGAAGTACTAAACACGGCAATGGGCCTTCAGCGTGAAGATTGCGAGAACGCACCAAGGCAAACTTCCCTCACAAATCCTCAAACCACCTACGCCCTATCTGAGGAACTGCTTAACTCCCGGCCTTTACGGGGCCAAAGTACGAGATTGTCTCTTCCTTCCCTACGCTGTATCAATGGGACACCACAGAATGAAGAGATACTAAACCAAACACGAGCAAACCCCTATAGGTCGTGGGAAATACCTCACAATGCACACTTTAACACATCGCGTTCAGAGCCTCAAATCCCCACCGTAGCAAACACCTATTGGCCGTGGGAGATCACAATTGGAAGTCCCCTAGCCCCTAGCAGTAAGAGGGCGTCTCTCACTGCCTGCCATGAGACACTGCCGAGTGAAGCGCCCTCACAAATTAACACCTACTGGCCTTGGGAGATCCCCAGTGTTAGACATTTCACTGTGAGATAGGTCTGATTCAAATTACTACAGAATGTTCAGTAAATTGATGTAAAAGAAACAATTTTGCTGCCCTGAAATTACATCAGATGCGTTTGTAAATTAAACAACGATCTTCGTCAGGGAGAGACGAGCCCTATAACAGCCAGTAATATAGCAAGGTAGTGGCGACTGTCAAAGAAGGCAAACAACCCTGTATGGCACCCAGGACTCACTAGTTCCCAGTCAGCTCGCTTGGAGAGGATACAGAAGAGGGCACTGCGCACCATCCTGAGGGGTCAGTACGTGGACTACAACTCAGCCTTGCACACTACAGGCCTACAGTCACTCAGCAGCCGACGCACGGACTTATGCCGGAAATTTGCTTCTAAGATCAACCCTGACCTCCTCCCACCGAGAGGAAGCGAGGAGCATGACAGGAACACTCGAAATGCTAACAAACTGAGAACTGTGAGACAAATAGATACCAAAACTCTACCATACCATACCTAACCCGACTGTTAAACGAATGAATAGCAATATTGTTTTCAACACAACCCTTCAGAGAACTTGAACAAGGAAAAAATTGTGACTTATGTGATGAAAGAGTTAGGCCCGCATGTATGTCGTACTGTTCGCGAAATATATCTATGTGTATTATATATCTATTATTTTAATAATCTTTTAATCATCTGTAACGGAGACATGAATGTTTAAGCCATGACAAAACTGATTTTAAATAGGTAAATTTAATTATCGTTTTTATATTATAACTGAATGACACTTTTAAAGTACTTGTAATGGAATCTGCAATTCAGCCAGTAGGCTGCGAGAGTTTCTTTTCTAATAAATCATTCATTCATTCATTCATTCATTCATTCATTCATTCATTCATTCATTCATTCATTCAACTTACGTGCCAAAATATTTAAGGTATGTGTACAGAACTTGTGGTAATAATTTTCTAGGAAATTCACAGAGCCTTGCAAATTTAAAATCGGCCATCTTTTTAAAATTTGTGTGTAAAATTGATGTGTGGCAGATGAAGACGACAGTGTTTGAAGTTTGCGGCTGAAACAACAGCATTTATTATCACGTAGAAGCCATTCATTTTTTTCACATCATGAGCTTTCAAAACACAAAACCCTATAACATGTTCAAGAACAAATTGTTAACATACCGATTTATTATTTTTAGCTGCAGTTCGCAACCTGACCTACGCATACGTTAGTAACCAATGCGTTTGGTAAACATGGAGACGAAGAAAATGTACTAGTACAGTCTAATGTCACAATATCGTTCCTAATATCCGACCCCATATTCCCGCCCAACTCCGTCGAATGTCAAATGCAAATGTTGACGGGCATGCAGCCAATCTTCTGTTGGCGGAACCACTAATTAACATTTTCTCATTGGTCGAACTGCTAATTGTGATGGACAACCTATGTCTATTTGGCAATTTCCCCATCAGTGTGGAAGTTTCCCCGTCAGTGTGGTTGTTTCCCCGTCAGCGTGGCTGTTTCCCCGTCAGTGTGGAGGTTTCCCCGTCAGTGTGGTCGTTTCCCCGTCAGTGTGGTCGTTTCCCCATCAGTGTGGTCGTTTCCCCGTCAGTGTGGTCGTTTCCCCCTCAGTGTGGTCGTTTCCCCATCAGTGTGGTCGTTTCCCCGTCAGTGTGGTCGTTTCCCCGTCTGCGTGCTCGTTTCCCCGTCAATGTGGTCGTTTCCCCGTCAGCGTGGTCGTTTCCCCGTCAGTGTGGTGGTTTCCCCGTCAGTGTGGTGGTTTCCCCGTCAGTGTGGTGGTTTCCCCCTCAGTGTGGAAGTTTTCCCGTCAGTGTGGAGGTTTCCCCGTCAGTGTGGTCGTTTCCCCGTCAGTGTGGTCGTTTCCCCGTCAGTGTGGTCGTTTCCCCGTCAGTTTGGAGGTTTCCCCGTCAGTGTGGTCGTTTCCCCGTCAGTGTGGTCGTTTCCCCGTCAGTGTGGTCGTTTCCCCGTCAGTGTGGTGGTTTCCCCGTCAGTGTGGTGGTTTCCCCGTCAGTGTGGAAGTTTCCCCGTCAGTGTGGAGGTTTCCCCGTCAGTGTGGAGGTTGTCCCCGTCAGTGTGGAGGTTTCCCTGTCAGTGTGGAGGTTTCCCTGTCGGCGTAGTACTTTCCCCGTCAGTGTGGTCGTTTCCCCGTCAGTGTGGTGGTTTCCCCGTCAGTGTGGTGGTTTCCCCGTCAGTGTGGAAGTTTCCCCGTCAGTGTGGTCGTTTCCCCGTCAGTTTGGAGGTTTCCCCGTCAGTGTGGTTGTTTCCCCGTCAGTGTGGTCGTTTCCCCGTCAGTGTGGAAGTTTCCCCGTCAGTGTGGTTGTTTCCCCGTCAGCGTGGCTGTTTCCCCGGCAGTGTGGAGGTTTCCCCGTCAGTGTGGTTGTTTCCCCGTCAGTGTGGAGGTTTCCCCGTCAGTGTGGTCGTTTCCCCGTCAGTGTGGTTGTTTCCCCGTCAGTGTGGTGGTTTCCCCGTCAGTGTGGAGGTTTCCCCGTCAGTGTGGTCGTTTCCCCGTCAGTGTGCTTGTTTCCCCGTCAGTGTGGAGGTTGTTGGTTG